ATCTGTAAGTGCTGCCCTATTTTGCCTAATGGAAGGGGCGGGCAGATGCGTCAAGTACCAGGTGGCGGTACCAAGGAATGGGGAGGAGCAAGGGCCCAGAAACTGCAGCTTACCTGCTAGCCGATGCCCTTGCCACAGACTCAGATAACGGGGAATCACAGGTGGGGCATGAGCACTTACCTGTAGGCTTGAGCAGGGCGAAGGGGGCTACAGGTAGAAGGTTTACGTGGCCAAGACTATGCACGTCTCGTCGGGCGCGGAGAGCAAGGAGTGATTAGCGGACTTGGAGCTTGCTGGTAGATGGCAGGCTGATTGTCCCATCAAACATGGGATSGAACCAGCCGRCTATGAAGGTGCAGCGGTGCTTGCGGATAGTATACTTAGTGATTSGGTMGTGAAGAGGAGCCAACGAGGTGTGACTTGGAGGAGCGGGCAACCTATGCAAAAGGGGATATTGCTGCAATTCGAAGTGTCGCCAGAAAGTCACCCTWAGACAGTTTGACTTCGGTTSACCCARTTGCTGCGCATTCTGRCCATCATTRCGGGRCCCTCAGGCGCGTCAAGGGATCAAGGCCCTCTCACGCGAGTTWRAGTGAACCATTCTTGGATCTGAGAGACTCACATCTTTCTTTTTCTACCCTTCTTACTCTCAGTCTAAGTCCTTGGTTACGAGAGGAAGGCGGCAGGCGGGATTGCAACCCGTAAATCCGCATCAAGACTCTGTGGGGAGTCCACCCACCGATTGCGGGAGCTCTGTCGGAACTCAGAAGGAGTTCTGGAGGCAGGGAACCTTCAGGTAAATCATCTTTATCTGTATAAACCCCACTACTACCCATGTTTGCCTATCTCCCTGCAGTATGACTGTTGTATGCATGCGTTTATCCCTATGGTTTTTGCTTTCTCTTCAGGACCTAATCAGACTAACTGGAAAAAATGTGTGAGAGTGAAGCCTAAGTTTCTACTTTGTTCTGATTGAAAGCAGACTAAGGATGAATTGGGGGAAGGTGGAAGGAAGGTAGACTGCATGCGTTTGACCGGGTCAACCAAAACCTGAGCATTCTTTCTACTGTGAATGGCTAAGGGCTACGTTTATTTGGATGTTTTCTCAAGGACAGGACATTGTTTCTACTGTGAATGGTCAGGTCGCTGTGTTTATTTGATTGTTTTCTGGGGAGCCAGACATTGTTTCTACTGTGAATGGTCAGGCTACCTTAGTTAACTCTGAGGGTTGTCAAATTGAAGGGGTTTAAATTCTTGTTTATTATGAGGGAGAATTTTTTTGTCTAAGGCTAAGCATTGTTTCCATGGTGAATGGTTTAGCCTGAAAACCACGCACATAATTTAAACTAAGTATAAAGGAAAGTATTTTATGTATATTTGCATGTGAACTGGCAGCTGGGCATTGTTTCTACTGTGAATGGTCCAGCGTTAAGCCATATCATTAAGAAGAGAAAAATAAAAATACAAAGTATAAATGGAAATAGTTTGGGCAAGCTAAACATTGTTTCTGCTGTGAATGGTTCAGTCCCCTGCCCATATTTGCTTTTTCTTTTTGAAAACAAAGTCAGAGAAATATTAAATCTTTGGATATTAAACAACTCAGGGCCACTAGGCATTGTTTCCATGGCGAATGACCTAGTCATCTGCCCAAAAGAAGAAAAAAAAAGTAGTTGTGCAACCTGTTCGTGTATATCATGAAGACAAGTTGGGCATTGTTTCCATGGCGAATGGTCTAGCTCTATGTCTTATGTAAGATGGGTATAAGGATTCAAGAACTTGAAGATTCATGACCTATCTTTATGGAATAAACTTGGGGTGGTGAAAGTACTTACATTGGTGGTTTGGTTTGCAAGTGACTGGATGGGATGGCTAGTTTGTTTAAGTTTTATTACTATAAGTAGTTGCTGTAGGTGCTCGCCACGTGCTAGAGTCGTAGGAGTTAGTGTCAATTCCTGCGTTTTCTGTGATAACGTTTTTTTACTTAGGTCAATTCCTGCATTTTCTGAGATTTTTATTTATTATTGGCTTTGTATAAATCTTGGCAAGCTACTTTTCCTACGGGAAGCGCTGCCGAAATTTCTACAAATCCAAGAAGTTAATGAACTTTTGACTTGTAAGAGTTCAACTTCTCTTTCCCATATATGAATTAGTATAAATCTGGAAAGTCTCCTTTTCTAGAGGGAGTGCTGCTCAAATTTTTACTAATTCAGGGAGTTAGACAAAATTGGACTTTGAGAAGTCAAAGTTATTCTCAAAATTCTGAACTTAACCTTGTATAAATTCTGAAATAACACTTTTCTAGAGGGAATGCTGCCGAAATTTCTACAAAATTAAGAAGTTAGTTAAATTCAGTCTAAAGTTAAGCTCGAGCTATTGTTCGAGTTCATATCTGACTGAGTATAAATCAGGGAAGTCTCCCTTTCTAAAGAGAGTGCTGCCCAAATTTCTACGAATTTAAAAAATTAGATAGAATTTGATTTTTCAGAGTTAGAGATTAATTTTGCTTTCATGTCTGACTTAGTATAAATCTGAGAAGTCTCCCTTTCTAAAGGGAGTGCTGCCCAAATTTATACTAAATCAGAGAGTTAGACATAATTTGACTTTCCAGAGTAAGAGATTATTTCTGCTCTCATATCTCGGCTTATATAAATTATGAAGAGACACTTTTCCTCTGGGAAGCGCTGCCAAAATTTTCTTAGTTTAGAGGAGATAGATTATATTTTGATAGGTGATTCAGGCAATCCACCCAGAATATGAGAGATTTTGCAGTTGGTCTACCTTTGGCTTAAGCACTGACTTAAAAGTAGACTTAGGTTTAACTGATAAGGAAATTTTGAGTGAGGATGTATTATGGAGTTGTATTCTCCATACACTTATGATCTTAGCATGGGAATTGGTCTGTCGTGTGTTACAAGTCCTTTTGATCATTTGATCCAAGTTCAGGGCTCGATCCAGCTTGATCCCTTAAAGATCACTTACTATTATCACTGATAACAGGTCGGTTGCCGATTCATCGGTCTACGACTCAATTTCAACTCTCCCTCTACACTCACCCTAAAAGGCTTTAGCCCAGGTGATTTCGTTGTTTTAATAAGGTTTCACCCGGACTTTTATTGAATGGTCATTTAACAAAGGTGCTGAGTACTTAATTAAGGTTGGTTGGACAGGAGGTTTGGGGCTTGCGTGGCTAAAGCGAGGGGTAAAAGTGTCGAAGGTGGTTGGGGTTGACTCCGTGCAGTGTGTGGGCTATTGATTTGGTTCGTTGATGTGATGGCAGGTATGTGCTGTGAATCAGATTCTGGATTTGGTTGCCTACGATCACACGTATACTTAGTATTGTGAGAGACCCCAACAAAACTATGAGAAGTGATCGTCACATACTTAACCCTTATATATGTATACATTGGTATACTTGGGATGAATGTTTGCATGGGTTGAAGAACCCCCACATTAAAGCCCCAGTTAGAAGGTGAGACTAAGGGGCTTAGGGGAGGTCTCTCCTTTTATTCTTGTCTCTTGCTTTTTGATGATCTTCTTAGTTGGACGTTTGGTCATGGGCCGGGATTCGAGGTCCTTGTCCAGGACATCCCAAGCCCTAGGCTCTGCAGGGGAGGGGTTTTCCCTCGCGCAGAGCCTATTTGATTTGCCTACCGAGACACTCAGGTCGAGAGCCTAAGGTGCAGCGGCGGCTGCACGACTATTTCCTTCAACCGTGCAATGTCGTGAAGGGTTAGGCCCTCACGACACTTCAAGTCTGACACTTGAGTGTCATAAGCGGTACTCGGATCCACGAGGGACCGCTTGATTATGAGCACTACATAGTACGTCATCATTGCGACTGTTTGTGTAAGTCTGCATTGGAAGTCGATATGAGTATGCCCTGCGTCCGCGCGGTTTTATACTAAGTTCAGCGCGCGACGCCTATCCGATTTTCGCACTGGAAAGTTATGGGTTGGCTACCGAGGGGCTAGGAGCTTTGTCGCGTTGTTGGTATTGTATCGTTTCGTATATATGTTGTTTTGTTTGGATGTGTCTTCGTAAAGTGGAGTGCGCGTGGTGTGTGGGATGCGTCCTACTCGACCGACGATGAGTCGCGCTTGGGACCTCAGCCCCCTCAAGATGTCGGTTCGCGTGCGGGTCTGATAAAGGCGTATTACCGCGCGTACCCCCTATGCTACAGCGAACGAGAAACGCCCTCGGCTGGTCCACCTATGCGATTGCAACTGATTAGCTTTCGTAGTGTGGACTGGTAGCTCGGCGGGGATACGCCCACCGAAGGGAGGTGACAGCTCCCGTAAGGTGCAGGTAAGTCGTGCCTCGCGCAGACCCTATCCTGTGGTAGGGGCTCACGAGAGGTATGACTGGCGCACCCGGCCGGAGCGGCTTGCGAAAGCTCCATGTATATTGCGACGAAGGGTTCTAAAAACCAACTCCTGCGTGACGCGGCCGGGAGGGTCCCGCGCAGTCCTCGTGCGGTGTCGGACCAATGCGCCCGATAGGTGGCGCCGTTGCCGGGGATAACGGAAAGCTTACCGTTGTCCCAGGGGGAACGATATCCGGGTATGAGAAGTAAATAAGAAAAGCCATAAAGGAGTGATGAGAAAGTAATGAAGGAATATATGAATTACTAAGTGTAGGTGAGAAAATTTACCTACCCAAGTAGAGGAAGTGTGAGGGACGATTGTGTTAACATTGGGTAAAGTAAGTACTAAGGGTTAGGTAGGATGGATGGAATAGACCGGTCAAGGTATAATGTTGAATAAGGGGATGTGCTTGTTTTCTTTTGCCAGGGAACTTAAAAAGAAAAGTCTGTCAAGATGCCTGAGACTGGCGGCGCATCAGTTGTTCCCAAGAAGGGCCTGACACTCGATGACCTCATCGCAGCCATCGATTGACATAAAAGGAACCCGAGCAACATCCCAAAGGTCGATACTTTCCATTTCTGTGGGAAGAGAGTCTCAGAATGGCTAGAGCGGGTAAAACAAGCTTTGGTCGGGCGGTCGGATGTTGTAAAGTTTCAACGCATCCTTCAGTTTGTCCTCCACAACTACCATCAGGAGGTGAAGAAAGTCATAGATGCAGCTCAAGGTAGCTGGGAGAGGTTCAAGGAAGGGATGCAGAGGAAATACCGCCTGGGAGACGGGTTGTTGACTACCACGGACCTTGAAGCGATGAACAAAGAGGATTTTATGACTATAGGGGCCTTTGTTCAAGAATTTAGGAAGAGGGCGCGGAAGGTCCATGGGATTTCTGAGGAAGCACAGTGCGTCATCTTCCTGGGGCTACTCATAGCATCGGAGGCCGTCGAGTTGACGAGACATGGAGGAGGTAGCACTAAGCTCACCTGGGCCACCATTGACAGAGGGGTAGAAGTTGGGTGCTTGGACCAGGTGGAACAACGTCAGGTACGCCTGCAAAGACAGAAGAGAAAAGAAAGAGATGCGACCGCTTCTGGGACCTCGGGAGTAACAAGGATTGTTACAGACGTATTGGCACAGCTAGGGTATGCGACAAAGCCGGTGGTGCAAAGGAGGGTGGTGACGGTTGTTAAAGTAAAAGGAAAAGAGCCAGTGATAGAGGAGGCTGGTCAGGAGGAGCTATGGGAAGAGGAAGAGCCAGTGCCGCAGCACCTAACGAAGGTCCAGCGCAAAGTGCGTAATTGGCGCAGGGCGGACAGGGATCAGGAAAAGCGCAGGCGCCTCAGGCCCAGGCAGCAGCCCTTTTAAATGTGGCGGCTCCATCATCTAGTATGGGCCCCTCGCAAGGAGGGGCGCCCTCCTATGGACAATGACCCTGGCCGGTGATCAACGCAATTGTGCCATGGGGAAGCACGCCGCCAGTAGCCGGACCGCAAACGAGTATGCCACCACCCATCTACCCCGTGGCCCAGGCCCAACCTGTGGCCCCGCCACCGTCACCTGATCCCAGTTCACAGGACAGTGTTGTAGGAGGTGGGAACCAGGGGCAGGGCAATCAAGGCAGTGGAGGGAGGGGTGGAGGAAAGGGGCGAGGCAAGAATGGCAGCGGAAGAGGAAGGCAATGGAATGGCCAAAGCCAAGGGTACCAAGGCCAAGGGAGTCAAGGACAGGGGTACCAAGGCCAAGGGAGTCAAGGCCAGGGGTACCAAGGCCAGGGCTATCAAGGCCGGGGGGATCAGGGAAGTCAGGGGTATGGAAGACCCCGCTTTGACTGGAGGACGGCCATATGTCAACATTGTGACCAGCAGGGCCATACTATAAGGTTATGTAATATAAGACGGGAAGACGAGAGAAGCAGACTGATTTCCTCTACTATGGATGGGAATATCTACAATCAGTTTGGGGAGGCCATTGACAGAAGGCTTGGAGGAGTGAGGGCTGAAGCCCAATGAAGAGCGGCAGCTGGACCACCACCCCCTGCCATGTTTAGGCTATGGCAGGAAAAGGAGGAACCACCGTTTGGGGTGGAAGAAGTGGGGAGCGATGAGGAAGTGACTCAAGGGCTGCGAGGAGGAAGTGAGACGAAAGAGGCCATAATCATCGAGTCAGATGACGAGGATGAGGAGGAAAGAACGGAGCCTCTGTCTGTCTTATTTGAGAAGATGGAGAACTTGCTGGATAAGATGGGGAGGTACCAACAGAAGTTGGTAGGCCTCTGTGAAGAAGTGAAGGGATGAAGGTCTAACATCCCCACAGTATTCCTCTATGACTCCGGCCCGGAGTCAGCGCCTGGGCGACCCGGAGTAAATGTGGTGGGGTCGTGCCCTCAACCAGGAATGAGGGGGAGACCCCTCACTCCGCAGGCCCGGCTAGCACAGGCAGCGCGAACGAGGAATCAAGCCAAGGCCAGTACCAGCCAAGAGCCTCCAAGGGGGGAACACGAACTAGGGAGAAGGAAAGAGGTTGTGGAAGTAGAGGACGACGATGATGAAGAGGAAGAGGACGAGAGGCTGCGCAAAGAAGAGGATCAGAGAGCGGAGCAGCGGGCAAGGAAAAAGGGGACCAGGGGAGAGGCCGAACCGGTCATACATGACGGACCGCCCAAAAAGAAGAAATACGCGGTCCGGTTGGAAGAGGGATTTGACGTAGAGAAGATGATTGACCGACTGCTTGAAGGGCATAATGATCTCATGACCCTGAAGGAAATCCTAGCGTCATCCCCTCGACTCCGCGATGAACTGAAGGGGAGGTTATCACGGCGCCTGGTGCCCAATGTCCATCTAGGTACGATCCTGCCCAAGGAGGCAGAGTGGGCAGAGTCAGGTACGAAGATGGACTGGAAGTGCGTAGCCTGCGGTACGGTGGATTTGATGGTGAAGGGTTCCAAGTGCGCAGCAATGGTGGAACCGGGGCAAAGATGAACATTATTCGGGAGGCGGACGCGATCAGATTCGGGCTGGATATAGACCGTTTTGACTGCGGTATTCTGCATGGAGCCAGCTGTAAGACCATGTTTTGCGGGACAGCCTCGAATGTGCTCATCGAGGTTGGAAAGGTGAAGGCCCGGGCATGCTTCTTCATAATGCCAGACGTGGACCATGGAATCCTCCTGGGAGGTCATTCCTAAGCAGGACAGACACCATGATGTTCAACAAACATGATGGGACGTTGATCCTCCTCTTATGCGATCCTGCCTGCGGGAATTATAAAATAATTACTTGCAGGAACACCGGACCAAGGAGTATAAGGAACCGGCCCAATCCAAGATCATTCACAATCGAGGAGTCGGAAGGGGAGCGCAGGAGGCTCTGGGCAGAGCCCGAAGCAGGAGAGGGGGTGGAAGCATTTTTCCTCAGCCTGTGAGATGTTGGGAAGGCCATGGACCTGGTGGCCGCGCATGAGATGGCAGATCCGGATGCCATCCAGGCCTTGAGGGAACAAGTTATGGAATGCCCTGAGGCAGGAAGGTTGAAATTGGTATATCGGCTCCTAGGCAGTGGAGGGAACCCCGCATCAGCGCAAACACAATCCGTGAGTCGGCCTTTTTTAGGGGACGGCTCAAGCAGGATTCCCAAAGGCGGTACAAGACGGTAGACAAGGAGTGCCGCCCAGTACCTGTCCTCGTTATAGAGGACGAGGAAGCATATTACGAGAGGGAACGAGGGTTGATTCGACGAATGAGGGAAAGTGCTTAAGTAGGGCCATGTCGTATCAACGAAGGGAACGAGAAGGAGTTGATCATAGGAGAATCTGATTTCCTGCTGCCTCAGGAGCGAACGTTAATGGTGGAATTAATGAAGAGGAAGCATCGCGCCTATGCGTTTAGTGACGAGGAGCGTGGCAGGCTGGATGTAGACAAGATACCTATGATCCGCATACACACCGTGCCACACGAGCCTTGGAACATGAGAGGGGCGCGATATCCCAATCCTGACGAGGAAAGGAAGGTGGTGGATTATCTCGACGGCAAGATACGTACTCACGTCGCCGACTATTCAAGTGAACCGTATGCGTCCCCGTGGTTCTGCTTTATTACGCCTAACGGGACGCTGCGGTGGGTGCAGGATTTGCAAAGATTGAATGCAGTGACCGTGCGAGATGCTGGAGGACTGCCGAATGCAGACGCGCTGTCGAAATCTTGTCCTGGAAGACCTACAATTTTGCTTATAGACCTTAACTCAGGATACGATCAATTCCCAGTCTACCCGTCGGATAGGCCGGTGACGGCTATGCACACGCCGCGAGGATTAGTCCACATGAACGTGGCCTCACAAAGGTGGACCAACGCAGTAACAATGGTCCAACGGGCCATGATTCGGGCCATGCAGTCAGTCAGCCCCCATATCACACAGCCATACATTGACAATTTGGCAGTGAAGGGGCCGACGATGAAAGAGAGCGACAAAGTCTCACCAGGGGTAAGACGCTTTGTCTGGAAACACATCCAGGACCTCGAAAATGTCTTGATCCTCCTCGAAGAGCATAACCTCATGGCAAGCGGGGCCAAATCCAGACACTGCATGAGGGAAGCGACTATCTTGGGGATCGTCTGCAATAAGAAGGGTCGAAGGCCGGATGTGAAGAAGACGGATAAGATTACTGAGTGGCCAGTTCCGTTCCTCTTAATAACTGATGTCAGGAGCTTCCTTGGTACGTGTGGATTTTGGAGGGCCTTCGTCAAGAACTTTGCCGCTAAGACTGAACATCTGAGGAAGTTAGTCCGTCAGGATCAGGAATGGGTATGGGGTGAGGAACAAGAAGAGGTGGTGACAAAAATGAAAGAGAAATTCCGAGAAGGAGGGTTGGTGTTAGGAGTGCCAGATTATGACGCCACAGAGACGCGACCCTTCATTTGTCGAAACGGATGAGGGACCGACTGCCTTAGGGGGAGTTCTAATACAGGCAGACATGGAAGGAAAGGAAAGACCCTTGCGATTTGAGAGCCGAACTCTCTGTACGACAGAGAGGAACTACTCTCAGTTCAAGAGGGAGACCCTTGCTGTCCTCCACTGTCTTCGAATATTCCGGAACTATGTCTTCGGCAGGAGATTTATTTTGAGAGTGGATCCGACCGCCCTGGCCTACTCTCTAAGGAATTACG